ACAAACTTGCGCTTTGTCATAAGTAATGATTTCACTGTGTCAAGTGACCTCCTCTAACATTATATAGAGCTTGTACGTCAAGTATCGAACTTCAGCTTAAGCCTTTGGTTTTGGATTATTTTTCAGTTACGAGCCTGGAGCTTAAGAAAATTCGACTACGTTATATAGTTTACTCTAGCGTTGTATAGTTTACTTAGATTCCAAAGGCACATGTGTTTTTGGAAGATAACAAATAACTGATCTGTTCCAAGTATCAGTAGCTTTCTTGCAGATGTTTCTTGACACGTTTGGAAGGGATTCACTTCCCCAGTTCGATGACTCTCACTGGACAAATTACTTTAAAATCCGGTCAGTTGAAGAGCGCTGCGATTTTTTGAACGATCTGCGTCGAAATCGAAAGATAGAGATTTCCTCTACCATCACTCCGGAGAGGGAGAAGGCAAGCTATGTTTTTCTAACTTAAAATGATGTTTCGTGGGATGTCGAGTGTTAAGGTATCACTTTTGAATAAGCAGAAAGAGGACAATGGTGAGATGGTGTATGCCCCTGGATTCAATAGCCTTGTAGAGCTCCATGGGCAGGAATTTCGAAGTATGCTCCATCTCCATCCTTGTTACCTCAGATGTTTAGATTCTGTAACGCATTCCAGAAGCAATAGATCACGTTTATGGTAGCCGTATTATCGCCATGAAACGTTGCGATGAAAGCCTTCCTAAACTTGTGGTTGACTGCCGCTTTCTTTCCGAGTTTAGTGTTACTGTCCAATGCTCCTTTGCGAGGTATTAAAATTCAACCTGCTCTATGCGTCTTTCTTATTGCAGCAACTTACGTCAGGCAAATTCAAACATTGCATGATGGTAATTGGACTTCACGACAACCTTTCGACATCACTGTGGCAAATTTTCGCCCAGATAGTCAACTTGCAGAGATCGTGAAAAGGTTGTGAGGCTGAATACTTTTTTTTATCTGGAATCATATGTATAGTAGACGTTTCAAACTTAACTGAATGCGGCCGTAGAGCACCGCAGTTATAATTGACTGCGTGGAACTATCTACTTGTGTTTTTCTCACTTACACGCAATTGGTTTTCCTTTTAAAGATAACGTTTTGAGACTAGATGGTGTTTCTCAATGATTACACATGCATTATTTTATTGGAGTGTCGGAAAAGTTTGTGCCGTTTTTCAAACTATGTTCTAAGAAAGTGATTGGCAAAGAGCGCTCATCATTCGAAAGTCAAAGACTTTTTCAAAATGCTTGGCTTCGATTTTGGTATAAGCTAAATATGATTAAAATGTGCTCCAGAGGGATGAAAAAACTACCGACAGCTTATCTTCTCTGAACTGTGAAGATATCGAAATTTACTGTAATGTTACCTGATGCGGTATTGGCTATGCTGATTACGAAAATCGTAGTGATTTCTCACGAAAGGGCTTCACTGTAAGATTGCAGTTATACGGTGCCAAGTGAAATCCATAGATTTGCCCCAAAATAGATTTACTGAGGTTAGTTGACACCCTGGTCACAAATATCCATCACACATGGTAAAGCCATTTCGCACAACAGGCATGAGATTATCCATTTTTTTT